GGGACCGACCGAGCACGCCACTGTACATGCCGTCGCAGCGAATGCAGCTGCCGCGCCGTTTAGAGGGCGCTGCTTTGCTTGCAACCGGCCGGGCCATCGCAAGAGCGAATGTCCAGAGGAGCTGAGGCGTCGAGGAGCAGAGCAGGGGAGGGAGTCTCGGAGGCAGGGAAACGCCAGCAGTCAGTAGAAGTTGGGCCAACTACTGACGAGACTGCCTGCTCGCCCAACCACACCGACCCTCACCGAGTCACAGTACCGATTCACGCCATCGATCGGGCTCGGATGAATAAGGAGGGTACAGCGACGGATTGCCCGGTACTGATCTACGGGAAAATACAGGGAGCAGCAGTGAAAATCTTCATTGACGGAGGAGCAAGTCACAGCTTAGTTAATACTGCAAGCGCACGGAAATTACAGTTAATACTTAACCGATGTTTACCTGAGATAGATGCACGCTTAGTCGACGGCACGCCATTGGCCATACGAGAAAAAGTGGAGCGAGTAAAAGTCCGCTGCGGGGGAACTTCGGGTTTACACAGGAAATGCTCGCAACGACGCTGGATGGGCACGACATTTTACTGGGACGTGATTGGCTGCGACGGTACAACCCACGGATCGACTGGACGACGGGAAGCTGCACAGTGCGAAGTAGTGGTAACTGGGTCGTCCTACCTCGCTGGCGGCCACCCGAATCTTCGACAGTCCAGGTCAACGCCATCACGATGAAACGGGCTGTCGCTGCTGGAGCTGACGTGTACGCAGTGGATATCGCAGTGGTAGAAAAAGACGAGCAGCAGAGTGATTTAGAGAAACTGCTAGCAGCCGTACCGACCGAATTACAGGCACTACTGAAACGGTTCCCGGGGATATTTCCGGATGATTTACCACAGGCACTGCCACCTCAGCGAGCGCACGACCATAGGATCGAGTTAGAACCGGGGGCACAGCCAACAGTACAGCGGCAATTTCGACTGACACAGCCCGAGCTCGACGAGTTAAGGAAGCAGTTAGATTACCTGTTAGAGAAGCGGTTTATTCGACCAAGCTCGTCACCGTTCGCCGCACCGATACTGTTCACACCGAAAAAAGACGGAGGTTTTCGCATGTGCATCGACTACCGAGCGCTTAACAGGGTTACAATCAAATCCCGATACCCCATCCCTCGCGCTGACGAACTGATCGACCAACTACGAACAGCGCGAGTCTTCTCGAAAATAGATTTACGGGGAGGTTACCATCAGATTCGGGTCGAACCTTCGGACTGCGCCAAAACAGCATTTAGGACTAGGTACGGGTCATTCGAGTATACAGTGATGCCTTTCGGGCTGACGAACGCGCCTGCAACTTTTCAGATGACCATGAACGAGGCGTTTCGACCACTTTTAGATAAATGCGTGATAGTTTACCTGGACGATATTCTGGTTTATAGCCGGGATAAGCAGCAGCACTTAGTGGATCTTGAAGCAGTTTTTAAGGTTTTAGAGGAACATCGGCTACTTACCAAGGGCTCCAAGTGCGAGTTTTTTAGGGATAGGCTCGAGTTTTTAGGTCACGTTATTTCGGAGGCTGGGGTTGAGATTGACCCAAAGAAGCTGGATACGGTAAAAGCGTGGCGCCCACCGACGAACATCACGGAACTGCAGAGTTTTCTAGGGTTTGTTAATTACGTTCGACGGTTCGTGCCCGACATGGCACGTTTAACAGCACCACTCACTGATTTACTGCGTAAGGGGGTTGCTTTTACGTGGGGGGAGAAAGAGCATGCTGCCTTCTCTGCCCTGAAAAACGTTCTCTGTTCACCACCCGTTCTACGCATCGCTGATCCCCACCGACCTTTCGAAGTGGTTACCGACGCAAGTGACATCGCCATCGGAGCTGTACTGTTACAGGACTTCGGCGACGGCCTCCAACCCATCGCCTACGAATCACGCAAGCTACATCCGCCTGAGCGAAATTACCCGATACACGACCGCGAAATGCTCGCGATCGTGCACGCATTCAAAGTTTGGCGCTGCTACTTGACCGGCGCAGACGTGACAGTACGGACAGACCACCGATCTCTACAGTACCTCCGCGCACAGCCCCACCTCAACCCACGACAGATTCGATGGCTCGATTTCCTCGAGTCGAATTTTCACTATACGGTCACATACAAAAAAGGAGCATCGAATATCGCCGACGCACTGACCCGCCCCACTGCCCAGATCCACGCGATACTACTCGCCCAGACCAGCCCACTGCTGACAGGCCTATTTACCCACGGATATCAAACAGACCCGTTCTTTACAGGAGGCAACTCACAGCAATTCGCAGCGGCAAAGGGAGTCTATTACGTAAAAACTGGAACCGACCGCATCTGGGTACCGGGATACACGCTACTACGGGAACTACTATTACAGGAAGCACACGACGGAGTTACCTCGGGACATTTCGGGGTAGAAAAAACACGGCAGCAGCTGCAGCGGTACTACTACTGGCCAGAAATGTTGACCGATGTGCAACGACACGTGGCATCGTGTCCCACTTGCCAGCTCATGAAGTCAAGCAGGAAGCGACCAGCGGGGCAATTACAACCCATCCCGCCTCCAGAGCGTGCTTGGCAGCAGGTGACGATGGACTTCGTCACGGGGTTACCAGCTGGGGCGAGTGGGAATGACGCGATCCTGGTCGTCGTCGATCGACTAACAAAAATGGCTCATTTCGCAGCATGCAGGAAATCCATCACAGCCGAAGAAACCGCCCGACTCTTCATCTCCACCGTTGTACGACTGCACGGGATACCCGCGTCGATCATCAGCGACAGGGACACGAAATTTACCAGCAACTTTTGGCGGAACCTGTGGCAGCAGTTCGGCAAGCGCTTACAGTTCAGTTCATCCTATCACCCCGAAACCGACGGACAGACAGAACGGACAAATCAGACCATGGAGCAGCTGATTCGAGCCACGTGCGACGACCCGAATACGTGGGAACAGCAGCTGCCACTCATCGAGTTCGCATACAATAACGCACCATCAGCCACGACGCAACAGTCGCCGTTTTACTTGAATTACGGACAGGACCCAACAGTACCCATGACACCGAATCCCGACAACCCCGTCCCACGAGCACAACAGTTCGCCGAGATTCTGCAAGCAGCACGGACCAGGGCAGCAGAAGCAATCAAAAAATCAAACATCATCGCTAAACGCAACGCCGATCGACATCGCAGACCCGTTACTTATCAGCCCGACGACCTTGTTTTACTCGACACTCAGAACCTTCGCCTGCCCATCACTCCAAAACTTCGCCCCCGATATTGTGGGCCATTTCGCATCAGCCACATGATCACACCCGTCACCGCCCACCTCCTCCTCCCTGCTGACTGGTACGTCAGCCCGTCATTCCACGTCAGCCTACTTCGCCCCTACATCCCATCCACGAGCCAACTGCCACGAAATCGCCCGGCCAGCATGACACGTCCCCCAACCGAACCAATCATCACCCCTGAAAAAATCCTCAGCCACCGAGTCCGCGACCCTCGGGGAGCCCGAAGGATCGAGTTCCTCATTCGCTGGAAAGACCGAACGCCCACAGAAGACAACTGGGTCCCCCTGGATAAAATCGAGAACCACCCTGTCTTCACCGAGTATCTGCGAAGCCGTAATTTCCGCGACGTCCATGCGCTCTCGTAAGAGGGGCCTCCTTGGGGAGGGGGGTAGTGTAAGGAAATTCCCTTTTCCTTACTTCGCGTCCCTGCTCAACGCGTACATCACTGTAGCACCTCAGTCAGCACCGTTACCACTCGCGATCATCGCATCATTCATCATCCCGCCCTTTTCGCACATCGCATCCCGACCTCACGGCTCGGCTGGTAACCCGCGCTCCGGGCCTACGCTTCGACACTTTCCCAACCTCAGTCCCAGGCTCGTCGCGCGACAACCACAGTCCATTACCGTTACCACTATAGTTTCGCTATATAATCCTTCGCTCATGCCTTCGCTCATTGTACTTTTGCTTCGATAGTGCAATTCTCGTTCGTTCACTCAATTGCACTGGTAACAGAAGGTAACTGCATCTTCACTGGGGTTCATCCACAAAATAATATATATTTGAAATTGATAAAACCTCTTTTTTTAGGGGATGGAAGCATTAAAACCCATGACTCCACTCCACGGGGGGAAATACGGCCATGTGCATCAGGCGATTACAATTTAACCCCTGGAAAAGTCATGATACTTGGCTGTTTTTTTTTAATAGCTTGCAATTCTGGAATCCAGCTTGGACTGTGAAAGACAATTGAGAACATTGAGAGCTGGCTTATATGCGTTTTTGTTTCCCATACTGCGCTGTTTTGTCCCTCCTTTCGACTTTAAGCAGCCAAGCGCACTGTAAAACGAGTATGTGAGTGGCGCTAGGACTCAGTCCTCGTGGTACAGTACACGTGATTACATCATGTGGATCATATGGGCTGGTGCAAAACGGTACACAGTGTTTGCGATAGAGCTTACACAAGGTGACACTGCCGGAGTTGTGCCACCTTTCATGTCACGCGGCATGCTTCTCGAATCACTGCAGCCACGTGAAGAGGTCGTAACAGCAACTGTGTACAGCTGATGCTCGCTAGAGTCCCCCAACTTTGGCAGGTCTCCCGGGCTTATAAACGATTCCGTCACTTCGACGGGTTCGCACAGTTTCGCCACGGGTAAAGAGTGCATATACACAACTCGGGTTGTAACAGGTTTGTTTTTAGCCCAACAGTGCCGGTTTGCAACCTTTGTTGTTTGTGTAATCACACAGTTACCCATTTTTCGCGCATTCACTATCAGACCCGATTACATTTCACAACCCCCCTTGTCACAAACAAGTACATCCAAATACCCTGCCAATCACAACACCCCACCTGTGCACCTGCCTGACGTCACGTGAGAACACATTCACAACATCAAATTGTGCACAAGTCGTGCACAATTTGATGGAGGAGCCAGTCTCTCACCACCTCGCCAGAGGCACAAATTGCCTCACATCCGCATCCATTCTGCGGCGGCGACGTAGCCGCTCATGACGGCCGGGAAACCCGCCTCGATGAGCTCCTGGCGGCGAGCAGTCTGTGCCACCCAGTCAGCCGTAGGCACCGTCATCCACGCCGGGAGGACCCTACCACGGGGACGGGGGGTCTCTGCCTCCGGGGTGGAGGCAGTCGTCATGGCGGGGGGCGGGGTCGCGTTGAGGTTCAACGGCGGGCTAGCGCGCTCCATCCGCGCCCGGATGATCGGGTTGCGAATGTCGAAGATGGCGCACAAGTCCCGCGGTGTGGTGCAGGTCGCCTTGGCGTAACCGATGAGCATCTCGCATGCCGCGCGAGCAGTGCGCCTCGCTTCGCGGGACGCAGGGTCAGCGTCATCGTAGACCTCCTGCATGGTCGAGGGAGGCGCCCACGTATCATGCGAAGGGGCCGGCACCGGCTCCGCTGCGAGCGGATCATCACCCGGCTCCGCGCAAGTGGGCTGGTTCTCGTCGAAACCGACGAAATCGTTCGCCGCCATCGCGCTGGATCCGAGGCAGAGCCGGTCGATGAGGAGGCCGACGTCGTTGACCTCCTCAGCAAGGCCGATGTCGGCCACGGTGCAAGGGTCGCGGATAGCGCCCGCCCCCACGTGCGCCAACTCCATGGCCCAGGCGCGCGGGAGGCATCCCGTGCGCCACCAGCATCTCTGGATGGTGCGTGGCGGGATATTCATCCAGGCATCGCTCAGCCACGCGATCACGTCTCGGAGGTTCGGCCTGAAACGAGCCGCTGCGGAGGTGGCGCCTTCGGCAGCCCACATGCCAGTGAACTTCCGCAGCCAATGTGCGCGATAACGCGCCTTCGCCATTGCAATCAGGCCCTGGTCAAGGGGCTGGGTGAAGCAAGTCGTGTTAGGCGGCAGGTAGACGAGTCGCACATTTTCGAGCTTGCGGGTGCGGAAGCCGAAGAGGTCCTCGGTGATGGCACCCCGTGTCGTGAGCGTGTGACTGCTGGCATTGTCGAGCAGTATCACGATCTGCCGCCCCTCCGCAAACATAGCCGCATCCAACTGCTCGATGTAGTGCGTGAAGAGCTGCGGGGGGGAAGGTGGGTGATGGTGAACAGTAATGAGTGTGACATAACTCGGGGAGGGTGTCAATGCGGCTTTCAATACTAGCGGCCTCCACGACGGAACTTACCGCGGTAGTCATCCACCCCTTGGCAGTGTTGCGCTAGTAGCAGAACTCCTCCGGGTCGTAGTCGGGGCGAAAGTCGTGCGGGCGCCGGGCTTTGGAGATCACGAGAGGGCGGAACAAGGTAGAGCCGTCGGCGTTGACGAGGAAGCCGATGGTGAGCCTCTCTTTGCCATTCTTCTTGCCCGCAACACGGCCCGTGCAGTAGGTCTTCCGCGGCAGAACGGAAATGTAGAGGGCCGTCTCGTCAAAATTGAAGGTGTCGCGTGGCCTCACGTTCAAATGCATAAGGAGCTGCGGCAGCTTCTCCTGCGTGGTGCGCACGGCCGTCATGTCCTGGTCGGCCGCCTCGCCAACCGCACTCAAGCATCTCACGCCCTGGCGGCGTAATGCGCGACGCACCCAGCCGATGGAGCAACGAAACGTAGCCGGCAGACCGTTCTCGCGGGCCATGTAGGCAACATGGTCCCGAATAGTCGCAAGGGTGAGAGGCACCCCAGCTGGCCCCGCCCTGGCTATCCACCGTGCCATGGCGCGCTCAAGCTCCGGATACGCGCCGCCGCGCACACGTACGGCGTTGTCATTGGTGTCATCGGTAGCCCAGCGGTCAGCACTTTTCAGGACGCGCCCGATGGTTGAGCGGTCGGGGCGGATTCCGAAACGAGTGAAGCACCATCGTGCGAGGTCAACGTGGCGCAGCTGGGGGTGTTCGACGTGGTGCGCGCATATGGCGCGCTTGATATGCAGGGGCAGCTGAGCTCGGTGATAAAGACGAGCCATTTAGAGCCTCGGTGTTGGGGTGAGAGAGTGATTGGAACTGATTTTTCAATCACTCTTTATGGTGTTGTGATTCGTTAGTGTGTAAGTGTGGGTTTTTTGCTCAGACGAAATGTGTGCAGATTAAGGTGGATGGTCTCCAGGGAATTGTGCTTCAATGTGAACACGTACATAGGAGCGTGACGTGTTGGGGTGCGCAACGTGAGGCGGTCAGTGGGCCTGTACCGAGCTGGTGCAAGTACCACGTGGCGGTGGGAATTCGGCCACAATTCTGTTAAGGGCACCATGACCCTTCAGACGTGGCAGCCGGTTCATTTTGTTCTGGTGTTCGACGTTGTGCGAAGCTCGTCCATAGCTTTCGCACTGCCTGTTTTTCGCCCAAGACCCTGGTTGAGTTGGGTTGGCAGGGTCTGTTTTGTGATGCAGGTTCTCTTTTGGGCGCATTCACGCACGAGAACAAGTGGCTGCAGGGGTCTGTACCCAGGGTGCAACATCGCGGCAAAGATGCCACGGGTGCAGAGTTTCTGGTGGGTGCAGGGCAATTTCGCGTGCAGGGGTTGGGCATCGACTGTACCTTCAAACTCGGGTAGTAGCTTTCGCAGGGGTACTACTAGCGACTTTGCGCTTTCAAGGGGACTACAGTGCTAGTTGCGGGCACTTTCCGCTAGCTGCGGAAGCTACTTACCCTTCGAACTCCTAGCCCCGCTTCCCCAAAGCTCGTGTAGTTTTTTGGTCGCGAGTCGGGACTCGAGAATCCGTCCGAAACCTTGGCTACATCCTGTTCTCGATTATCTCACACCCCTTAATTGCACATCTTGGGGTACTTACCCTACCCCTATCATTTTCATAGGGTAGTTGGCAACGTCTAGGAAAACCGCAGAGGAGGGTCCGACCACTTTCGTGAACTGTCGGGGTGCACCAAGAATAAAAAGAGAACACAAACCTGACTAAACCCCAACCCCGAATTTTAAGTGCGAGTTTCTTTCTAGAGGTACCTGCCAGCTGTTTACTAATAGTCCCTTAATCTCTGGGTGTCCATCGCATCAAGTCAAACTCCGTAAAGGGTACATACGAAAAAAGGTAGGGGTGTGCAATGGTCGAGAACTAGGTGTAGTTCATCATTCGCTGCACCACGCACGTCTGTTGCCGTGCCGCTGCTGCCGAGCCGAGCAGACGAGCAGGAGCCTCACCTCGCTCACTCTCACTGGGAGAGTGGGAAGAGTAGGGCTCGGCAGCCCCACTCTCCGAACGACTGCCTCTGCTGCTCCCGTGTTGATTGAAGCTGTACTGCACGCTTGCGGCGATCGTACATGTACAGAAACAACACTAGCAGCAAACGAGGGATGGAGTGTTCTTCCCGACCTCTTCCAACCGAAGAATCGTGGACGTACAGTAAGGGTGCGTCAGATCCGTTGTCGGAAAAATCCGGCTGGCCGGATCTAGCGGAGGTTACACATTCACGACAGTCGCAGGGTGTTTCGTGAATTTCGCACAATCCGGCCACCTGATAAAAAAATTGATGGCCGGTTTAGCATTCGACAACTGTCCGACGTGCAAACGAATCGAGAGTCGACCACTTTGTCGACTCGCCAGTGCTACAGTACCTATGCGACTTGGCCAACCACCCAAGCGACTCAACTTGTCACAAGGACGACGCGCACGGCGCTTTCAGCGCCGCTGAACAAGACAACATTTCGGGGTTGTGTCACTTCAGTAACAATACATGCGACTCCGTTGCACAATACGGCCAACTGTGCGACCTGCAAATCTGACACTTTTGCAAACTGGCCTGTAAATCGGCCACCAAATCTGTCAGATTGCAGCACCTTGAAAATGTGGCTGGATGGTGGTTGGTTTACCATTTGACCATTCGGTCGACTTTGGCGAAAAATATAGTCGACCAAAAAGGGCGACAAATTTGCAGCCAAATCACATTGCAGCGGATCTGACGCACCCTAATGTACGTTACTAACGGAGGCTTCGATTTCAATGCAGCTGCTCGGCACGCGGCAGTGGATAGGATTCCAAAAGTGGCAGTGACACCCCAAATTTGGCCCAGTAGGTTTCACTGCAGAAAATAAGCCGACCCCACCCAATAAACCGATCCCACCCAACCCAATCCACTACACCCTGTTTCTCACTACACTTAACAGTGCCGAACTGGTGGAAAACCTTGTTCTCTTCGATTTGTCTGAATGAACCGTATCGAGACTTAATCTAACCACCGTCAACCGTGCTTTTCCCATGACTTCACTAAAACCGAATTCACAATGGCGAGAAAGAGGGTGTACACCCAATCCCGATTCCCGTTTGTTCCACCCACCTGGGGCTCTCGCTGTTGCGGACCTTTCATGGCAATCATTAACAATATTTTCGCACCCCTCTTAAAACCTCTGGACCCTGGATTTACATCTTTTCATCCCACACCTTCGTAGATTGTAGATGTGTCTCCGTCCCATACCTTTCACGCAGCGTTCACTGTGATCCTGGCCAAATGACAAGCGATGGTTCGACGTGCGTGCTTGCGTGGCTGCCTGCCACTGTCAGTTCAATTTTCCACGACATGCTGCCACGCGTGCCGACCTTTTTTCAGATACCTTCGCCGCGAAGCAGCTACGGGTGTAGCAGCTACGAGATACCAGACAGTCGATTTCCGAAGCGCTTACCTAGAAGTGTAGCAGTACCAGTAGTTTAACTCGACTCCAATCGTGAGCCTGCGTCTTCCCTGCTTTGGACCCGCTTTTTTTCTGTGACGCAGCGTCTACCACTCCGTCCTAATTCAGGCACTATGTGCGCCCGTCCAATCAAAACGTTCCACGTCGGAACCTAATAAGACGACAGTCCCCGACAACCGAAACAGTCACTGCTGCTGCGTGTCAAATTTAGTCGGACCGCCGGACGTTAATGGGAAATTGCTTAAAACGGGGTCATAATAACGGCCCAGTTAGCTCCAGCCGCGCCCATAGAACTACGGATAAGGAGGGCGCCTTGTCCCTCGAGGCAAAACCGCGAAAACAGTCACCTGAACAGAACTCTTCTTTCGAAACAGCTCAAGCCGCGCCGAAGCCTATCCCTTCCGCCTCTCTTGTCCCCGCAGCAGTTGCGGGGAGCGCAAGTATCATTAACAGCGCTTCCGCCGCTCCTCTCCCCGCGCCAAGCGCGTTCCCCGCATCGGCGGCAATTGCAAGACCCGCGAAGCCCGACGGTCTTGGCAGCAAGGCGCAGGATTCCGCACTAGTTGCGCCTGTGCTTCCCCCTGATTTATCCGGGCAGCCCGTGAAAGAAAAATCTCTGAGGGTGAAGCATGGCCTTGGCATGGACGGCGGAGCGGGGGACTGGGCGGGGAAAATGGCGGAGGCTGGCGGAATGAGCAAAGGCTCCGTCAAGACGCTTCCGCCAACGCCCATGTTCGCGCACCTGGGGAACGTGCGGAAAGCGGGAAGCGCAGAGGCGCACAAGCTCCGGCGGACAGAGCGGAACGGAGCTGGCGCGCGGAGCGAGGAGGGGGACGGCGCGGGAAGCGGAGGCGGGTCGAGGTCCGGGTCGGGGAGACTGTGGGTGTTTGGGGGATCCGCGGGCGGAAGCAACGGATCGCGCAGGGGCATGGGCGCAACGGCCGCAGCTGTAGTGGCGGGGGCGGTGGCGGGAGCGGGAGCGGGGGCGCAAGCGCGGGACGTGTGCTCGATGCATGCGGGGCGTCCTTTGGCGATCCTGGGCGCGGGAGATAGGAGCACGGGCGGAGGGGGAAGCATGGGCGGCGGGGGCTCCATGAGCGGACGCGGAAGCACGGGCCGGCCGCGGATCAAGCGGAACTTGACAGCAGCGCAAATGTGGGTCGCTGATGAGGCATGGGAAGAAGGTGGGGGAATGAGGCGAGCGGGAGCGGAGGGGGTGTAAAGGGCGAGAGGGGAAGGCTATAGCGGTTATAACGGTTGTGAAGGCTATAGCGCGTCCCGTTGTTTGCCTCCCTCCCACGCAGGGTCCTTTTTCCCTCCACCACTCTCCCCTCTCTCTCCTCGTCTACCCCCCAAGAACGAAAAAGGAAGAAAGAAAAGAAGCGAAGAAGAAGAAGAAAAAAATGACCCGACTCTCCGTCCTCTCCCCCCACCATACCCGTTCGTTCCCATCAGATCGCAGCAGGCAACTGCATTGCGGGAGGGGCGGACCATGTGCGAGCTGCTGCGCGTGCAGCAGCGGGGCAAGGGGCGGCATCTGCTCATCATGGCGCATGGCTTCGGCGCCAACCATGCTGTGAGTGCGGGGGATGGGACTGGACTGGACTGGACTGGGGTCACCGATGTTTTAGAGCTGGCTTGAATTGAATACTGGTGCCACGCGCACTGTGAGGGCATCACGCGCATCTGCTCATCACGGCACATGGCGCATGGTTCTAGTGCCAACCATGCTGTGAGTGACAGGGATGGGACTGGGAGGCGAATTGAGAGTGGGATCACTGCACTTGTTGAGTCGATGTGAGCGGACCCAGGGATGGGTGGTGTGTGGGTGGACGGCAAGGGATGGCAAGGGACGGCAAGGGGCGGCAATGGGCGGCATTTGCTCATCATGGCGCATGGTTTCAGTGCCAACCATGCTGTGAGTGACGGGGATGGGACTGGGAGGCGACTTGAGTGGTACATACACCCTTGCTCCGCACCTTCTGTCACCCCCTTCATCCTCCCCTCGTCCAATCCTCCCTTGCTCCTTCCATCTTTCATTCTTCCCCTCCTCTCCTCCCCTTCCCCTATCCACCCATCCCCCCACCCCTTCCCCCCCCCAGCAATGGAAGGACGTGGTGGAGCTGATGAGTCCTGACCGCTTCACAGTGCTGCTCTTTGTTTCCCCTTCCTCCCATCCCCCCATCCACCCATTCACCCCCACACTCCTGCCCCCTCCCCCCTCTCCCCTCCCCCCTCCCCCCTCTCCCCTCTCCCCTCTCCCCTCTCTCCTCGCCCCTCGCCCCTTCCCCCAGCAATGGAAGGACGTGGTGGAGCTGATGAGTCCTGACCGCTTCACAGTGCTGCTCTTTGACTTCATTGGCGCACACGGGTGGGTGCAGGGTGGGTGCAGGGTGGGAGAGGGTGGGTGGGAGAGGGTGGGTGCAGGGTGGGTGGGAGAGGGTGGGAGAGGGTGGGAGAGGGTGCGTGTGTGGGTAGGTGGGTGAGTGGGAGGAGGGTAGGTGGGTGGGTGAGTGGGTCCTAACCCCATGGGAGAGTGCATGGGTGAATGGTGCGAGGGTGGGTGGGTTGTGTGAGCTCATCGAACCCCATGGGTGCACGGTGCATGGTGGATCATGGGTGGTGTTGTGCGAATGATGTCATGTCATGTCATGTCATGTCATGCGGTGTGCCTGCAGCATGGGGGAGCTTGTGAGGCGCCTCTTTCATGACCCATTCGATCCGTTTGACTTGTTTAATCATAGGTACAGAGACGGGATCATGGAAGCTCCCGTTTATGGGAGCGGTACCCGTTGCTCCCATCCTCCTCCACTCCACTCCGCGCCTCCAACGTTTCCTCCTGCCCCGTCCCCCCGTCCCCCTATCTCCCCCCGTCCCCCTATCTCCCCCCGTCCCCCTATCCCCCCCAACCCCCTTTCAGGACCCAGCACGACCTGTGTGACCCTGAGTGGCTCACGTCGCCCCCCCCACCTCCTTCCTCGTCCCACCCTGTGCCCCCATATTCTCCCCTCCCACCTCCCTCCTTCCCACCTCTCCCGGTTATTCCACCCCACCCACCGCTCCCACCCCACCCGCCGCTCCCACCCCATCCCCCCCTGTCCCTTCTCCCCTTCCCAGCGCCCAGTACGACCTGTTTGACCCCGTGTGGTATGCATCCCACCCACCCTCCTCAGCGCCCTCCCTTTCTCCTCCCTTCTCCGCCCCCCTCCCCCAACCCCCCCTCCCACCCACCCAGCACCCAGTACGACCTGTTTGACCTTGTGCGCTGCGCGCCCCTCCCTCCCGCCCACCTCCTTCCTCGTCTCCCCAGCCCTCATATTCCCCCCCTCTCTCCCCCCCGCCCGCACTCTCCCCCTCCCCCCCCCTTCCCCCTCCTCCCCCTTCCCCCTCTCTCCCCCCCCCCCCCCACAGCACCCAGTACGACCTGTTTGACCCCGTGCAATATGCGTCCCTCGCACCCACCTTCCCCTGTGGCCCGAGTTAACTCACGCTTATCGTCTCCCCTGTGGCCCCATATTCCCCCTCCCCCTCCTCCCCCCCCAACACCCAGTGCGACCTGTTTGACCCCGTGCGCTACACGTCGCTCCCACCCACCTCCAATCTTCCCCGTCCCCTTTCCCCCTCTCCCATCCCTCCTCCCCAGCACCCAGTACGACCTGTTTGACCCCGTGCGCTACGCGTCCCTCAAGGGCTTTGCTGATGACGTGTCACTGCTGCTGGACGAGCTGGGGATCCAGGTGAGGGGGAGGGGGGACGGGAGAAGGAACAAGAGAACACCATGTAGGTGCCATGGCTTCAATATGTGGCAGCAACTTGTGAGAAAACACCTGCCAGTAGTTTTCTGATGACTGTTGAGTTGACTCAAGAGCTGACCTTTGAGTCGACTCAAGAGCTGACCTTTGAGTCGACTCAAGAGCTGACCTTTGAGCCGACTCAAGAGCTGACCTTTGAGTCGACTCAAGAGCTGACCTTTGAGTCGACCCAAGAGCTGACCTTTGAGTCGACTCAAGAGCTGACCTTTGAGTCGACTCAAGAGCTGACCTTTGAGTCGACTCAAGAGCTGACTTTTGAGTCGACTCAAGAGCTGACCTTTGAGTCGACTCAAGAGCTGACCTTTGAGTCGACTCAAGAGCTGACCTTTGAGTCGACTCAAGAGCTGACCTTTGAGTCGACTCAAGAGCTGACTTTTGAGTCGACTCAAGAGCTGACCTTTGAGTCGACTCAAGAGCTGACCTTTGAGTCGACTCAAGAGCCGACCTTTGAGTCGACTCAAGAGCTGACCTTTGAGTTGACTCAAGAGCCGACCTTTGAGTCGACTCAAGAGCTGACCTTTGAGTCGACTCAAGAGCTGACCTTTGAGTCGACTCAAGAGCTGACCTTTGAGTCGACTCAAGAGCTGACCTTTGAGTCGACTCAAGAGCTGACCTTTGAGTCGACTCAAGAGCCGACCTTTGAGTCGACTCAAGAGCTGACCTTTGAGTTGACTCAAGAGCCGACCTTTGAGTCGACTCAAGAGCTGACCTTTGAGTCGACTCAAGAGCTGACCTTTGAGTCGATCAAGAGCTGACCTTTGAGTCGACTCAAGAGCTGACCTTTGAGTCGACTCAAGAGCTGACCTTTGAGTCGACTCAAAAGTAAACGCCTGCCAGTAGTTTTGCTGCTGAAGTAAACTTCTGATGAAGTTTTGCTGCTGCTGGACGAGTTGGGGATTGAGGTGGGGGGGGTAAGGTGGGTTAGCAGAGAAGGGGGAAGGCAGGAAAGGAGATGACGGGGGTTGGGGTGGGTGGCGGGTGATGGTGTGTCGCTGCTGCTGCACGAGCTGCGGATCCAGGTGAGGAAGGAAATAGGGGGGAGCGGGAGAAGAGGGCGGTTGGAATGGGGCAGGCAGGTGATGGTGTGTCGCTGCTGCCTCCCTCCCTCACTCAATCAGTCCCTCTTGCCCTCCCCTCGGCCACCAGGCGTGTCATCCTCATGGCAGGAGATCACGTTCATCGGGCACCAGCAGGCCAGCATCGTTTGTGAGGCTGCTGCTTGCACACTCACTCACTCACTCACTCACTCACTCACTCACTCACGCACCCACTCACTCTCCCCCTCGCCCCCTCGTTCCTCCACCCATCCCCACCAGGCGTCATCCTCATGGCAGGAGATCACGTTCATAGGGCACCAGCAGGCGGGCATAGTGGGCCTGCTGTTGGCCCTGCAGAGGCCGGACCTCTTCCACCGAGTCATCACCCTCGCCTCCTCGCCCAGGTAGTTGGGGTGGTACGGGCAGCGCGAGGGCTTGTAGTGGGTGGAATGGGAGGGAAGCAAGCAAGTGGAGGTCAAGCCAAGCGGACCACGCACATGCGCCACTTTCACTGCTGCTGCTGGCCCTGCAGAGGCCGGACCTCTCTTCCACCGAGTCATCACCCTCGCCTCCTCGCCCACCTCTTCTACTCCGGGATGTTTTCACTCCACTCTTTCCCCTCCCCTCCCCTCCCCTCCACTCCACTCCCCTCCCCTCCCCGTCCCCCCCCCTCCCACTTTTCTCACAATGTAGGGTGCCTCTTCTCCTCTCGTAACCATCCAATGTAGGGTTCTGATGGCGTTTTAGATTTTCCTTCACTGGTTACTTTCCTTCCCTCCTCCTCTTCCCCTCTCCTCTACAATCTCCCCTTCCACCCTCCCACCCTCTATCTCCTGCATACATACATCCTTTTGCCGGCCGTTCATGAGAACTCTCAAAAGAAAACCTCCCTCCCGTCCGCCTGCATACATTCCTCTCAGACATGTGAGTCATTTTCCACTCCACCCCCACCCCACCGCACCCCCCCCCCCCCCTCCCTCTCCCATCCCGAATCTTCCTTCCCGCCTTCCCCCCTCCCCCCACCCGTGCAGATTTCTCTCTGATGTGGGATATGCGGGCGGGTTTGAGCTGCAGGATCTCGACCAGGTGTTTGGAGTCATGCAGTCTAACTACACGGTGGGTGAGATGGAATTTACTGGAGCGGAGGGGGGCCAGGAAGTGTCTGTTTGTTTGAGCTGCAGGGTTGGGGCCAGGTGTTTGGAGTCATGCAGTCTAACTACACGGTGAGATGGAGCAATTTTGGGGGGAAAGGAGGGGGATGGGGGAAGAGGAGGAAGGGGAAGAGGGGCGAGGGGGGAGGAGGTGTCGGTTGGTTTGAGCTGCAGGATCTCGACCAGGCGTTAGGAGTCATGCAGTCCAACTACACGGTGGGTGAGATGGAATTAAGAAGGAGAAAGGGGTCCAGGAAGTGCTGAGGGGATCGGAGATGGGAGATGGGAGATGGGAATTGCACTTCCCATCTCCCTCCCTTCTCCTCCCCCCTCCTCCATACAGATGTGGGCAGCGGGGTGCATGCCAGCGCTAACACCTGATGACATTCATCTGCCCCACATGCGCAACTCAGCTCACACTCCCCAGTACTGGTTCACCCAATCCCACCACATCCCCACCCCTCCCTCACCCCATCTCTCAGATGTGGGCGGCGGGGTGTATGCCAGTGCTGACACCGGACGACATTCGACTGCTTGCCCCTCTCGTGTCCTTCACTCACACTCCTAGTACCCTTCCCTCTTCTTCACCCGCCCCATACAGATGTGGGCAGCGGGGTGCATGCCAGTGCTGACACCGGACGACATTAGACTCCCCCACGTGCGAATTCAATCACGCTCCTTCTTAACCTTCCCTCCACATCACACCACACCACACCACACCTCCTCCCTACCCTCTGCAGATGTGGGCGGCGGGGTGCATGCCAGTGCTAACACCAGATGACATTAGACTCCCCCACGTGCGGGACTTCACCCGTCCGCTCTTCTCCCTGCGCCCAGACGTCGCTTTCGCTCTGCTCAAAACCACCTTCGCCTGTGACGTGCGCGCCGTGCTGCCAGAGGTGAGATACTGTGCAGAAATCACTTGTTAAGGACACTCATAGCATAGATTAATGTGTGCAGGGTAGCACGGGTGTTCCTCGTTATTCACCCAGCTGTCAGCATCCCCTGCTGCTCCCACGTATCTTACCCACACCCCCCCAGGTACTAGTACAGACGCACATGCTGCTGATTGCGCTCGACCCCACCGTACCGCACTCCACCACACAGCACATGCTCGCAGCCATCCCCAACTCGTACGCGGAGATCCTCGCTGTCACCTCGCTGCACGTGCGTCCAGATGTCATCGCGACGAGCATCCTGCGCCACATCAGCATGCCGCTACGGGACGCGCAGAGCCAATCATGTCGCCAGACTGTCAGCACGCGATTCGCCATCCCTTCGTCTGTGCTGCCGCCAACAAAAGTGGTGGAGGATGGGTGGGAGTGATGCAGGGCCCGGTTGGGAATGAGGGAGTGGGAGTGAGGGAGAGTGAGGGAGTGGGAATGAGGGGGAGAGCAAGTGGCTGATTGCCGCTGATAGTGCGGCGGTGATGAGTTTTGGTGTTGCTGCATATCATATGCCCATGCATACCCTAGCTTCGTGGTTACCCACTATGTAGTCGTTCATTTTCCTTATATTTAGTGTTTTGGTCATCATGCCTATTTGCATTGGAATTGGAAGTGAAATGAGCCTAACGAAATGTACAAGTTGGAGCTGTACAAGCCACAACATGGCATGACAGGTAAAGTGCTGCCATGAAAATATGGGCGTGCATGAAACTGCTAATCATGCTGGTACAGGAAATGACAAGGATAGAATCTAGAAGGCCATAGCATGGCCCACAAACTTCTTTTTGAAAAACCAGCATCATTTCTGACAACGAGTTATGTCACAAGGACTGTGCGGAGGAAGGCTAATAAATCGTACGCGCCCACACATCCACTTCTAATTATTGAATCGCCGCAGCTCGCTGTGCCGCTGCCTGAGTTCGATTGGTGGAATTATTGCGATCAATTCTAGGCAACAGTGGCCTTCAAGATCCATCATCCCTGGCATTATTGGCTGATCAGCGAATGGTGCAAGGTAACCAGCTACTCACGGTTCGTTGGCGATCACTCGCAGCGCAGAGACGAAACTGTCGTGACAAACTGTACAATTGTCGTCAAGAAAAGCGAAACGGCGTCACAGAAACCTTGATTCGCGCACTCCAGATTTTCACTTTTGAGTTGACTCAAAAAACTGATTCGCGCACTCCAGATTTTCGCGTCTTTGACGGGGTCCCCAATGATAGTCGTAAGCAGCGCGCTTCGACATCTCCTCTTGTTTGCGGTAGATTCCGCGTCGCGCCAACGGACTCAACGGCAATCCTCCCGTTGCCTTTCACATATGATCTCCCAGCTGAGCTCTCGGCAGTATAAGTCCCGCGCAACTACGTACTTTTACATCAGTTGTAGATATACAATCCAAACATATTTCATCTACTCCAGTCCATTTGAGTGATCAGAATCATGGCTTCGCTTCGCGTTTTGTTGCTGATGCTCTGTGTGATCGCCGCGGCGCACGTACCCGCCGCGACGGCGGAATTCAACCCCGCTCTTGCCACTCTCGCCGCAAACCCCGAGCATGACGGCCTTCTCGCCACGGGCAAGGCGCTCACGGGAGACGTGCGCGAAGACGCGAATGTGATTATAGCGAACCGCGCTCTCGCGGCGGAGGGCGGGGAGTCTCCGCATACGCGCGCTGTTCGCGTTCTGGCGGAGGAGGACTTTCTTTCCCCCGGGGAAGCGGAAGGCGCTGCGTTGGCAGTGGAGGAGTATAGGCGGAGCCTGAAAAAGAACAAGAAGGGGAAGAAGGGGAAGAAGGGGAAGAAGGGGAAGAAGGGGAAGAAGGGGAAGAAGGGGAAGAAGGGGAAGAAGGGGAAGAAGGGGAAGAAGGGGAAAAAAGGGAAGAAGGGGAAGAAGGGGAAGAAGGGGAAGAAGGGGAAGAAAGGGAAGGGCAAGCAGGGGAAGAAGGGGAAGAAGGCAAAGAAGGCCCTGAAGGCGAAGGCAAAGAAGCTGAGGAAGCAGGCTAAGGCGCTCATCGCCAAGGCTAAGGCGCTCGAGAAGAAGGCCAAGTAGTGGCGCGAACTGGAAACGAAGGGAAATCAGCGTTCTTGGGGAATGGGAATAAAGGGAGAAGTTGAGGATGCTGGGAAGGAGATGAGAATAAAGATTAGTTTTCTCGTGGGTTGGGGCGAATGGGTGCAAGTGGGTTAGATTTACAGGGGTGGGACGGCATGCATTGCCGTAAGTGATCTCTGTGAGATGTTCGCCAAAGGGGGTTTCTGGTCTTGAGGGACATTGCCTCCTTCACTCGACTCGCTAAATTAAGTCTTGAGGGTTTCTAGTCTTTCACCTACGACAAGAGTACTTCAAGATTTCACAAATATCTGGTCCCTGCCAGGCCGGGCCCTCTCGTACGGCCCTCTTCTTTCTTTATGAGAATACTCTGGCTAATCACACGTACACAAGTCTGAAAATCGGACAAAGCAGACTAAAACGATTGAAATCTGAGCCCCTGGATCCAGCAGCAACCTATCAAGCCTGTGAACACCCATCTTATTCAGCTGATGACAAGAGGAATAGCAGCTGCAGAAAAGGCACCTAAACCAGCACAGAATACTTGAAACTTACTTTCTTCACCGGATCTTTCACCATACCACAGAAAGAAAACCATTTCTTTAAAACAATAGCATGTCGTCTGACAACTAAGGGCTGACGTGACGGAAACAGGGTTGATTGAGCACCATATATGCTCACCATCCGTGGCAGAACATTCTCATGTAAGCAACTACGGTATTTCTGCTCCGTAAGGTTGCTGTCTGGCACACTTACAAAAAGACATGGTACGGTACCGCAGGCCTGGCCTGGCAAACAGGGTGATTTGATGCAACAGGCTTGGATCGAGAGCACTGAGAAGCATGAAAGCAACCAGCAGAGCGGAGAAAGGACGACACGGCAAAGGCATGCGATGCGAAGTGAGCAAGAGTTTGAATTGAGCGTGAGAAGGCCGGCCGGGAGCCAAACCAGGTCTGGCTCATCAGGTTGTGATCTTGGCCCCAGGCGTCCCTGGCTTGACGGGGCGATGGGGCCTTGGTGCTGGTGCGCACGGGGTGAGGGGCGAGGGGCGAGAGGAGAAGGGAGAGGGGCGAGGGGAGAAGGGAGAGGGGAGAGGGGAGAAGGGAGAGGGGAGAGGGGAGAAGGGAGAGGGGAGAGGGGAGAGGGGAGAGGGGAGAGGGAGATGGGAAAAGGGCGATGAAGATGAAAGGCGTGTGCAAGCGGGACAGCATTGTGTTTGCAAGGAGGGAAATTGGTTGGTGGGATGGGAGAGAAACTGAGGGAAGGGCGGAATCAGTCACGATCAGTGGGTGGGGAAGCAGCAGCGGGTGGTGGGTGAGGAGCAGGGCCAGAGTGGTGACAGACCGTTGGGGTTGCCTTGCTCGTAGAATCGCCGGAAGAGGTCTACAGCCTCGCTGGCCAGTATGCCCCCCTCGCACTGCAGTAGCTCTGCTCCCTGCGCTCCTGTACTGCTGGTGAGCGGGGGGAAGGGGAAGGGAAGAGGGGAGGAGAGTAGGCGCAGAGGGTAGGAGGAGGGGAGGGTATGAGGGGAGAAGCGGGAGGAAACGGAAGTGCTGATAGGACTGAAAGGTGGCACAGGAATGGAGCAAAACCAGCACGCAACAGGAATGCTGACAGTGCAGGGAGCAGTGGCGCGAGTGGGAGTGATGATAGCAGAGTGATGATAGCAGAGTGATGATAGCAGTAAGAGGGGTAGCGTGACCGTGGGGAGAGTGAGAAAGAGGGGTCTGTTGGCAGCAGTATGTGAGGGAAGGGCGAGGAAAGGCAGGGCGAGGAGAGGAAGAACAGAGAAGATCAGATCAATCACATGCAGTCAGCCCCTTGCATGAGTTGGCGATTATCAACTTTGATGCATGGAGATCGGATCAACTCAGGCACGGAGAAGATCAGATCAATCATCAAAATTGATCACCACATGCAGTCAGCTCCTTGCATGAGTTGGTGCGGGAAAGAAAAACGTAAAGTGGAGGCGGGAGTGGGTTGCGGAAGGGGGAGAGCAGGCAGAGATTGCAGCAGAGCATACAAGGGCGGGCAGGGGCGGCATCCTTTGGCGTGTACTGAGAGCACGGATCCGCAGCCGCCGAAGCGGTCGTTGGGACAGCCGTAGAACACACGGGTGAGACCTGGGGGCGGAGGGGGGAAGAGGGGAAGGGGGGGATGGGGGGGGGGGAAGTGGGGAAGGGGGGGAGAGGGGGAGGGGGGGTAGAGGGGAAGGTGGGGAGGGGGGGAGGGGGGGAAGTGGGGAGGGGAGGAGGGGAAGAAACACGCCGTGAGGAAGGGAGTTGGAACACTGAAGCTTCCAAAGAATGGAAGATGATATGGACGCATGCTGGTATGCAGAAATTCACTGACGATACGAGTGAAATGGGGGAACGCAAAGGGGTGTTGAGAGGTGCGGTTGGGTGAGCAGGAACAAGGTGGGGGAGAAAGGGCGGTTGAGAGAGGTGGAAAGCACAGGCGGAGGAGGGAAAAGGGGTGGAATGGGGAGGATGGGGGACGATGGGAGACGGATGCGAGCAGGGAGGAGGGTGGGAATGAGGGAAAATGGGAGGAAAAGGAGGAGGACGAATGGGACGTGTTTTGAGTCGACTCAAAACACCAAGGGAGGAAAAGGAGGAGGAGGAATGGGATGAGGTGGAGGGGGAGGATGCAGGAAAAGAGGCTGTGAGACAGCAGGGGGAGTGGAAAGGGGAAGAGAAAGGAAGAAAAAGGAGCGCATCTTTTGGAGGAAAACAGGGATGTGATGCAAGCAATGGGTGATTGCTGGCTCTAAGGCGCCAGCTACTTGACATGCTGCCTGCCTATCTCACCCATCCCACCACTCCAACCCATCTCACCCATCCTACCCATCGCACCCATCCCACCCCTCCACATCCTCCCACCCCACCTGCCCATCCCTCCCTCTCTCACCCATCGTACCTCCCCCACCACTCCAGCCCCTCCCACCCCACCCTTCCCACCCATCCCACCCCTCCCACCCTTTCCCACTCTTCCCACCCCTCTCACCCCCAAGGTGCAAAAAAACGACGTTTTTTTAACATTTTGATCGTAAAATACCGTATCGTAAGAAACGATCGTAAAATACGATAAAAAACGGTTTTTGAAAATAAATACTTTTGGTGCAAAAAAACCTTCGTTTTTTTCAGTAAAAAGACCAAAACTGCTGCTGAAACAAGGGGATTGACTGGTGAGAAGAACAAGGGGGCCGTTAGAAGTGCTGATGATGCAGTGGAAGATTGTTAGAAGTGCTTTTGTGATCAGAACAGCATCTTTGAAGTTGAAGAGTTTTTTTTGTCTAACAAAAAAACGACGTTTTTTTTCCCAAATGATACCGTAAAAAACCATCGAAAAAAACAATCGTATTTTTCGACAATCGTTTTTTTCTACCTTGCTCACCCCTCCCACCCCTCCCACTTGTCGTACCAAGCAGAGAGAGAGCAGCAGCGCACATGATACACGGTTCACATGTCACAAACAGCTCACTCTCCCCCGCCACCTGCAGCAACCGCCCATACCGCTCCCCCTCCTCCTCCTCCCCCCCCCTCCTCATCGTCTCCCTCTCGCCCCCCTCCCTCCTCTGCCTCGTTCATTCTCTCTAAGTGTTCTCCATCCTGCCTATCCTCCCTCGCAGATGCATTTAATTCTTGCTTCAGCCTCTCCCTTTCTCTCTCCCCAGCTGATCCGTGGCTGCCAAGTGTCTCTGTGCCATTCGCAGCGCCGTTCGTTGATGCTGCCCTAGGTGGATCAATCACCCCGAGATATTCGTTAACCTGCCCGGGAGAAAGATATTCCAGCAGCGAATCAATGGCCTCCATCTCAGCATGGCGGGTAGCCTGACAAAAAAAAAAACAAACAAACAAACAAAAAACCAAAAAAATGAGGTGCAGGAGGGAGGGAGAGGGGGAGGGGGAGGAAGGGTGAAGGGGTGGGGGGAGGGGGAGGGAGGGGGAAGGGGTGGGGGGAGGGGGGGGGGGAGGGGGGAGAGAGAGAGAAGAACCAAGACTCGGTCTTTAAGAGTGTGTAACGATCTGCGCCGTCCAAAGGCCTGGCCTTGCTGCAGATTGTATATGGGCAATCATACTTGGCAACATATGTGAATATATAACGAGTGAAGGGACTGAGCTGAGTTGTGAAGAGGTAGTAACGTACAGGGAAAAAGAGAGGAGAGAGAAGAGGAGAAAGGAGAGGAAAAGAGTGGAGAGAGAAGTGGAGAGAGGAGGGGAAAAGAGAGGAGAGGAGAGGAGGAGAGGAGAGGAGAGGTGAGGAGAGGAGAGGAGCAGAGAGGAGAGGAGAGGAGAGGTGAGGAGAGGAGAGGAGTGGAGAGGAGTGGAGAGGAGTGGACTCACGTTTCTGGTTTCGTTGGTTCTATTGCTGCCTGCTGCAACGACTTTGTTGTTATGCACTATCACACAGCTGCGAGGACAACGGGAAGAGGAAAGACACAAGAGAACAGTTTTTGAGGCGCCTCAAAAGACAACTTTGTTGCTGTCCAGTATCACACAGATGCACGGGCACAGTAGAAGGAAAGACACAAGAGAACAGAGTCAAGGAAGAGTTATCAGGGGGTAAGGCACTTGAACATATGGTCATAAGTTAAGTGGGGAAAGTGGGGGGGAGGGAGGGAGAAAGTGGAGGGGGGGGATGGAGGGAGAAAGTGGGGGGAGGGGAGGGAGGTTGAGGGGTACAGGGGGGAAGGGGGAAGAACAAGCAGGATGGGAAGCTAGAGAAGGGTATAGGAGATAGGAGGAAGTTGAAGGGGGTAGGGAAGCGGGAGGAGAGAGAGGGGAGATATGGGATGGGGGAGGGGTGGAGGATTGGTGAAGGGAGGAAGGGAGAAGGAGGCAAGGATGCTCACCCCACGGGGACTTCTAGTCTCGCCCATGCAGCCTCCGCCTTTCCTTGCAGACACACACAGGCAAGAAGGCACAAATAAACAAGGTCAAGAGGTCATCGGGGCATGCAGGCATGAGGGTATGAGGAGACAAGGATACGAGGGTATGAGGATATGCGATCACGATCACACGGGCGGAAGGGAGGAGTGCGGAAATGCAGCAGTATGTAGCACTTTGGATCACAGGAAGAACAGGGAAGAGCGGTACGGAGAGAGGAGAATTACGGAGGGGAGCGGAGGGGAGCACGGGGGGAGGGGCGACGGAGGAAGGGGGAGGGAACGCGGGGGTGAGGCGGGGAAGGGGGGATATGGAACAGCCAGGAGGAGAGCAGCGCGGAGAGGGGGGCAGGTGCAATAGCGGAGAGGAGCGGAGCGCGGCGAGTGCCACGTCATGCACCTGCGCGATGGCGAGGCGCATGAAGTGGACCCTCCTCTCGGCCTCCGAGGTGAACGGCGCGAATGCCGCCGCGTCCCCCGCCATGGCGCAAGAGGAAGGCCGCCTGTGATTGGATCGAGTGGCAAAGCGAGAGTGATATCCGAGGGAATGGGGGGGTGAACAAGTGATAACGACTTTTGTTCATACACGTTTGTGGCCTCAAAATCTAGGTTATTTTTTATGAGTTACAAAAGGGAGAGCGAACAACACAGCTGTGACTGAATGAATCGACACAGAAGTGAAGCCTAGGAAGTAATAAGATGGGGGCGAGGTTCAGTACAGATTAGTCAGCTAGGTTCAAAGGCAACGCGCGGTATTTTCGAAGTCGGGCAAGTACTTCCAAGAGTTAGGGTTGGCCTCGAGTCGCGCGAGTGCAGTATTTGTTTGTTCAAAATTTTCACCTCTGAGCAACCTCGAGTTAGGGTTGGCCTCGAGCAACCTCAAGAAGTGCGACAACTTGTAAGGAAATTCCCTTTTCCTTACTTCGCGTCCCTGCTCAACGCGTACATCACTGTAGCACCTCAGTCAGCACCGTTACCACTCGCGACCATCGCATCATTCATCATCCCGCCCTTTTCGCACATCGCATCCCGACCTCACGGCTCGGCTGGTAACCCGCGCTCCGGGCCTACGCTTCGACACTTTCCAAACCTCAGTCCCAGGCTCGTCGCGCGACCATTACCGTTACCACTATAGTTTCGCTATATAATGTTCGCTCATGCCTTCGCTCAATTGTATTCTTGCTTCGATAGTGCAATTCTCGTTCGTTCACTCAATTGCACTCGTAACACTTGGTATTCATAGCCTACGATCTCATCTCGGACAGCATCCACACCTTCGCTTCCCACTATCTCAATTTTTGGGGGGGGGGTAGACGTCTCTCAGCGACACAGCACCGCCGCTCGTAGTGCTCTCTCGAAAGCACGCACGGCCACGACCGAGGCTCTCGCTGAGCTTGCCCGACACCCCCGCCATGGCCGATTTCAATCTCGCCACGTTGACGCAGGAGCAACTCGATCGTCTCGTGCGTCAATTGGAGGATTCGGCGCTCGAAATCGCGACTCTCACGGCGGAACGTGACTCCGCCCGTCAACAGTCAACGATGAACGTACCGACGACATCACACGCACAAACCAATGCATCTGCACATGTGGAGGAGCCCATCGTCATCTCATCCGGCACACCAACGCAACACAACAGCACGCGACAGCGCTCAGGCGCAGCCAATGACGGCGCAGCCCAACCGATGCCCGGCATGGGAGGGAACAGGAGCGCATTAAGCCCACGGGAGCCCCGAGAAGCCCGTCGGCACGTGGAGTTTGCGGCGACAAGTGGCGAGAACGCCATGATGGCCCCAATGCCACTCAAGCCGCAACGCCCGCCCTGCTTCGACCCAAGCCAACGCGGCGGCCCGACAGTTCAATCGTGGGTCTTCACGATGAATGTGTTTTTCGACGCCAACTACGTCGAGTCGGACGCCGCCAAGATCCGGTATGCGGTTTCACTACTCAGGGGCCCCGCCATGGACTGGTGGCGAGTCATTGTGACGTCGCCGCGCGCCTACGAGCCACCGTCGCACGAGGAAGGGCCCTCGAGTCCAGCTGTTACCTGGAGTTCGTTCTGCGAAACCGCCCAATACAGCACGTGGGATGCGTGGTGCGCAGGACTTCGGGCGCGCTTTGAGCCGATCGCGGCCTCGATTTCGGCGCGTCAGAAACTGCGCACTTGGCGCCAGCTCGGGTCAGTTCAAGACTACACCAGCGGGTTTCTCGCACTTTGCGAACAGGTCGGCTACATGCACGAGGCAGAGCGGGTGGACCGTTACGTCGGAGGGCTGAAGCCGGACATCTCGCACGAGATAATGCTACGCGGGCTCTCGAATTTCAACGAGATCCTCGCGCTCGCCGAGAAAATCGATATCCTACGCCGACCGAGACCGGGGTCCTATTACGGACATCGTCCTCGGGGACCGACCGAGCACGCCACTGTACATGCCGTCGCAGCGAATGCAGCTGCCGCGCCGTTTAGAGGGCGCTGCTTTGCTTGCAACCGGCCGGGCCATCGCAAGAGCGAATGTCCAGAGGAGCTGAGGCGTCGAGGAGCAGAGCAGGGGAGGGAGTCTCGAAGGCAGGGAAACGCCAGCAGTCAGTAGAAGTTGGGCCAACTACTGACGAGACTGCCTGCTCGCCCAACCACACCGACCCTCACCGAGTCACAGTACCGATTCACGCCATCGATCGGGCTCGGATGAATAAGGAGGGTACAGCGACGGATTGCCCGGTACTGATCTACGGGAAAATACAGGGAGCAGCAGTGAAGATCTTCATTGACGGAGGAGCAAGCCACAGCTTAGATAATACCGCAACCGCACGAAAATTACAGTTAACGCTTAACCGATGTTTACCTGAGATAGATGCACGCTTAGTCGACGGCACGCCCCTGGCCATACGGGAAAAGGTGGAGCGCGTAAAAGTCCGCAGCGGGGGGAACTTCGGGTTTACACAGGAAATGCTCGCGACGACACTGGATGGGCACGACATTTTATTGGGACGTGATTGGCTGCGACGGTACAACCCACGGATCGACTGGACGACGGGGAGCTGCACAGTGCGAAGTAGTGGTAACTGGGTCGTTCTACCTCGCTGGCAGCCACCCAAATCTTCGACGGTCCAGGTCAACGCCATCACGATGAAACGGGCTGTCGCTGCTGGAGCTGACGTGTACGCAGTGGATATCGCACTCGTAGAAAAAGATGAGCAGCCGAGTGATTTGGAGAAACTGCTAGCAACTGTACCGACCGAACTACAGGCACTACTGAAACAGTTCCCGGGGATATTTCCGGATGATTTACCACAGGGACTGCCACCTCAGCGGGCGCACGACCATAGGATCGAGTTAGAACCGGGGGCACAGCCAACTGTACAGCGGCAATTTCGACTGACACAGCCCGAGCTCGACGAGTTAAGGAAGCAGTTAGATTACCTGTTAGAGAAGCAGTTTATCCGTCCGAGCTCGTCACCGTTCGCCGCACCGATACTGTTCACACCGAAAAAAGACGGAGGGTTCCGCATGTGCATCGACTACCGAGCGCTTAACAGGGTAACAGTCAAATCGCGATACCCCATCCCCCGCGCCGACGAACTGATCGACCAACTGCGAACAGCACGAGTCTTTTCGAAAATAGATTTACGGGGAGGTTACCATCAGATTCGGGTCGAACCATCGGACTGCGCCAAAACAGCATTTAGGACTAGGTACGGGTCATTCGAGTATACAGTAATGCCATTCGGGCTGACGAACGCGCCTGCGACATTTCAGATGACCATGAACGAGGCGTTTAGACCACTTTTAGATAAATGCGTGATAGTTTAACTGGACGATATTCTAGTTTACAGCCGGGATAAGCAGCAACACTTAGTGGATCTTGAAGCAATTTTTAAGGTTTTGGAGGATTATCGGCTACTCACCAAGGGCTCCAAGTGCGAGTTTTTTCGGGACAGGCTAGAGTTTTTGGGTCACGTCATTTCGGAGGCTGGGGTTGAGATTGACCCAAAGAAGCTGGATACGGTAAAAGCGTGGCGCCCCCCGACGAACATCACGGAACTACAGAGTTTTTTAGGTTTTGTTAATTACGTTCGACGGTTCGTGCCCGACATGGCACGTTTAACAGCCCCACTCACTGATTTACTGCGTAAGGGGGTCGCTTTTACGTGGGGGGAGAAAGAGCATGCTGCCTTCTCTGCCCTGAAAAACGTTCTCTGTTCACCACCCGTTCTACGCATCGCTGATCCCCACCGCCCTTTCGAAGTGGTTACCGACGCAAGTGACATCGCCATTGGAGCAGTACTGTTACAGGACTTTGGCGACGACCTCCAACCCATCGCCTACGAATCACGCAAACTACATCCGCCTGAGCGAAATTACCCGATACACGACCGCGAAATGCTTGCGATCGTGCACGCATTCAAAGTATGGCGCTGCTACTTGACCGGCGCAGACGTGACAGTACGGACAGACCATCGATCTCTACAGTACCTCCGCGCACAGCCCCACCTCAACCCACGACAGATTCGATGGCTCGATTTCCTCGAGTCGAATTTTCACTATACGGTCACATACAAAAAAGGAGCCTCGAATATCGCCGACGCACTGACCCGCCCCATTGCCCAGATCCACGTGATACTACTCGCCCAGACCAGCCCGCTACTGACAGGCCTATTTACCCACGGATATCAAACAGACCCGTTCTTTACAGGAGGCAACTCACAGCAATTCGCAGCGGCAAAAGGAGTCTATTACGTAAAAGCTGGAACCGACCGCATCTCGGTACCAGGATACACGCTACTGCGGGAACTACTGTTACAGGAAGCACACGACGGAGTTACCTCGGGACATTTCGAGGTAGAAAAAACACGGCAGCAGCTGCAGCGGTACTACTACTGGCCAGAAATGTTGACCGATGTGCAACGACACGTGGCATCGTGCCCCACTTGCCAGCTCATGAAGTCAAGCAGGAAGCGGCCGGCGGGACAATTACAACCCATCCCGCCCCCAGAGCGTGCTTGG